AACATTAAAAAATGTAAATCTAATAGTTATATTACTGTTATTAATATAAAGACTTACATCTCTGCTTTCCCTTGCGAACACTGAATCACCATAGCAACGGTAAACACAAGCTAACAGACAAGCGAGATTTGTTATTGTTTGGAAAGCTGATCTGCTGCTATAGTGTAAGGCACGATGATGTCATTCTAAAGCACTATTCCCTTGAATGCTGTATAATACTCTATTATAAATTATTTATATAAGTAAATAATTTTAATGTACATTATTTAATTGAGTATTCTGCCAATGTTTTTTCCTTATATTTCTATTTGCTCTATTGCTGTATACTACCCACTAGTAACCTGGGTTACATGTTGATTTACAAGGTTTATGCGTTTATCAATGAAGGAAATCCACAATTTGAATCCTTTACGCATGGTCTTGCAATACGAAATGGAATCGTAAAAACGCATTTTACAGCTTTATTAAATATTAATACGAGTTTGTACATGCTCCATATTGCCTCTAATTAAAGAACACAAAATATTTACTGGGAGCTGTAGACAACAGTTGCAATATTTTACTGCAATGTTTCAAAGAGATGGAAAGTAAATAAACCCCAGGCAGATAGAAAGCAAGTAAAAGCATTTTACAACTGTGTGCATGCAAAGTACATGAACGTATTTTCAGTCGTTTTAACATGGATGAAAGAAAGAAATGAAAATGAATTTTAAAAAAAAACACCATTTTTAAATTTAGCTGAATTAGCAGAAACGTAGCTTCGGGTGATGTTTGGTTGCAATATTTAAATTAAGCTTATAAAACTTGTATCAAAGTTTGCACAACAATCTCTAGCAGCGCAACTCTTTTCAGTGCTAATAGTAATAATTACTTCTAAGCAGCAAACCAGAATAATAGATGATTTCTAAAAATAAAATAAAAAAAGGGGGGGGGGGGTGCAAAACTGAAAATATACAGCTTTGCATCAATCCATGGACAGTTTAAAATTCTGGCGGTATGATAACCTAGGATACAAATACCACGGTTTGTTAATACTGCTCTTAAATAAGTTTTTTTAAGAAAAAAACATTTTCCCATTTTCCCAACACAATCTATTTTAATTTTAAGAAAATTTTCAAATATTTTGGAAACGGATGCTTCAACAAAGGTTCTACAAGAAAGACGTGAATTCTACATCATTCTTCATAATTATCAATTCCGCCAATAATAATCAAGCGTGCTATATATAAAAAACTATTATTTTCGCTGTTTATACTGTAGGTGACACAGGCAAAGTTCCCTTCGCCCTCCCCACCACCACCACCAGGTTGGGCCCTTGTTTTTCCTGGGGGTTGGCCTTGCCCTGCCAGCTCTTCAAGAGATCTGCATCATCAATGGGGCTTATACCAAAGGACTATACAAAAAAAAAAAAGGACAGCAACCGAAATTACAATGTTTTATGCTTTCCCAATAAATGTTAAAACGTTTATCTGTCTCCCAAGTCTTTCCGGTAGAACAGTAAACATGTCTGGCTAAATAATTAAACTAAATAATTGACTTCAGCTGTCTTCATTAGTTTTAAAAATCAGATTACTTTGGATAACTTTCTTTTCTTTGGATATAAAGTAAGCCACTGCACGGTTCAGGTCTGTAGCATTCTTGGATATTGGTTTATAAGTGATTTGCTTTTCAGATATTTGCTGAATCGTGAGCTGACCAGTAACTTTTAATGTGGAGACGTCTTTTTTGCTGTAGATACTGTTGCCTCGACTGGTTTCAAGGTTTACCATAGTTTGGAAATGTCATCATCCCATGCCTTATTGCATCACAGGAATGACTGACATTTGTAAATATATGCAAACAGAAAAGTCATTTGGACTGTGATATTATTTTGCTATATTAATAATTGTACAGTATTTTATTTAATAAATGCAGCCTCTGTGATCATATAATAACTGATTGTAATACGCAAAGCTAGGTGTCTCCAGTTGTTTCTGGGCAGTGGTTTTCTGCCACTCTGCTTTCAGTGTCCAAACCGAAGAGGCTCCTCACGAGTCCAATGCCCTAATTAAAATGGATGAACATTGCTGCTATCGGCCTACTATCATTTGTCAAACCCGTGCCGTGCTTTGACAAGCAAAGTAGAAATAATTGCCTTTTAGTGTAATGCTACAAATTCCAGTTATCCAAGGTGAGGCGCGCTGGCGCTCTGAGTTGCCAGATTGTGTGGAACTAAACGTTGGCTGACGTTGCCTTTCCGATCAGCAGCTGCTCACAAGGCAAAGCCGTGCCCGTTCCTCCTTTCCGTCCATCACAATCAAGTTTAACTATTTAAACGCTGATATGATCATCGTTTTCCCTTAATTTAACCATCAATCTGTCATCGTTTTATTGCCGCCGGTATTCGCTGCAACATTTTTGGTCCGGGAAAAAGTTTCACTGTGCAGGCGCCAAAACAGCACCATCTGTCTCCTCTCGACCACTGTTGGTGGCACAGAAAGCAATATCCATCCATGCCACGTCAGGAGTGAGTCAGGACCACAGAGGAGAGGAAAACATACGGAGGAAAACATGGATTGGATGGTACTTCTTTGTCCGTATAGCCATAGCATCCATGTTCAGCGTCATCTCTAAATTTAGGAATCAGTTAGCATGGTCAACAAGTGTTTTAAATTTCTCTAGCTGTTTAAGCCTTCATGTTTTAGCAACAATTAATGGTCACATTTAAGAAACTAATTTAAATATTTATCAATTTTAAATCAATAACAAACATTTTTTACTGTAATCAAATGATTCCATGAAGAAAAAGCCCTTAAAAAGCTCTTTGTAATGGAATTTTTTCATAGGTTTTAATCGCAAAAAATGTATGTTGTAACGCTTATGCTGTTTTAACACTTATGTAGACTAACAATTTCTACTGCCTTTAAGCAATAATGAGTTCTAGTCAAGACTTTAAATAATTCCTGTCATTCCAATGAGGTCAGTTCTCCTATTTTATGTTCATTTTATAAATAAACTGATTGTGTTTATTCTAATAAAATGCATTTACATTACATTTTACATTTTTATGCATCTGTGGCTGCATAGTAATATGCTCTTTCTTTATAAGAGAAAAATCACAGTGATTTGCCACTTGGTTTCTAGAGAAAGCTAGATAGTGTCATGTTTTTCAGACAAAAATCCAGTGTAGCAGTATCGAGATTTGTGAAATTAAATTGAAACTGATAAATAGTCTCTGCAAAACGTTTTCTCTTTCTCTCTTTAGTGTAGATTATTAACCTGTAGTCACTTAATACTGATTGATTACAACACAAAATTTATTTGAGTGACTCAGTGAACCTTAACAATCCCAACACAACCAATTTCATGATTGGTACAATCAATCATGAAAAACTCTTTTTAAGATAGCTGATCGCTAGTTGTGCTTTACCTTATTGTGAACCACAAGGTATCAACATGGAAACCTCAAAAAAAAACTTCCTAATGGCCTAAAAACTAGGATAACTCATCAACATGAATTTGGAGAAGGATACAAAAAGCTATCACAAAGGTTAAAGTCTCTATCTCCACAATTAGAAATATAGTAAGAAAATGGAAGGCCACAGGAACAGTTCAGGTGAAGGAAAGATGTGGTAGGCCAAAAAAAAACTGAAAATCAAAGGCGAAGAATGGTAAGAATGGTCATAAATCTGTAAAAAAAAATTGTAATTTGCTATTTCAAAGAAAAATTTATGTCTTATTTATATAAAGGGTTAAATGCAGCAATACAATGGCAAAAGCATTGAGATGTTCAAAACTTTCTGATATTTATTTATCATTGCTCATTATTTATACAAGTTGGTGCTAATACAATCCATTTAGATTTACTGTTATTCTGTTATGAAGATACTTTATTTTTTTTAACAATTATAAAAAAAATTATTCTTTAGGTTCTGGAATGTGAAAATATTATTTAGATTTTCTGTGCACTATGAGGGTTAAAATGGCTCTTTTTTGTGAAAATTGATTAAACACATAATGCAGCACAATGATACAGAGCAGAATCGAATGTTCACCCCAGACTATATTTACATTACCTGACAATAGTCTTGTAGTCAATCTTAGCTGTAATTGCAACAAATAATATCTTGACTTCAAGTTAATCATTTGGAAAATGGGCAGAAGGTGGATTTTTCAAATGAATAATCAGTTGAACTGCATCCAAATCATTACTAATACTGCAGAAGACCTATTGCAACCCACATGGACCAAATATTCTCACAGAAATCAGACAAGTTTGGTGAAGGAAAAATCATGTTTTGGGGTTGCATTCAGTATGGGATGCATGCAAGAGTTCTGCAGAGTGGATGGGAACATCAACAGAGTATCAACACATTTGTGCTGCCCATTATATTACAAACCACAAGAGAGGGTAAATTCTTCATCAGGATAGCGCTCCTCATACTTCAGCCTTCACATAAAAATTCCTGAAAGCAAAGAAGATTAAGGTGCTCCACGACTGGCCAGCCCAGTCAACAGACATTACATTATTGAGCATGTCTGGGGTAAGATGGAGGAGGTTGCATTGAAGATGAAACCAAAGAATCTTGATGAACTCAGGGAGTCCTGCAAGAACGTTTTCTTTCCCATGCCAGATGACTTATTTAATATGTATGAATGCAATCCTCCAAGCTCATGCATGTGAGACATCCACAATATTAATTATTTTTCGACAAGTGACAAGACTTTGTCTAAGCGAAGCCAGACCTTACTGTCCAAATCAAATAAATTAAAAATCAAGGCATGATCCTATTTTATTTTGTTAAAATAAGCATAATCTAGAGGCTTTTGCCTTTTATACAAGCCACTTCTGATAGCAAATGATCTACTAGAAGGCAAGTTATGATTTGTTCCTCCTAAAACTTGCATAGGCGACAAGACTTTAGTCAGGTAGTGTACATAATGCAAACTTTTACTTAGGTTTAAGAAGATTATCCTGCTCTAGCATTTATTTAAAAACAATTAAGAAACAAAATTCCATAAACAAAACAGAGTTTTAGTTTAATAAAAACAAAAAGAATTGCCTTATCTTGTGCACCCTTATCAGCAACAATGTAGTTTTGACAGTATTTTTTAAAGGAATTATTTAAAATTAGTTGAACTTAATTGTTTTAAACAACTTAATTGTTTTATGGTCAATTAAAAAACACTTAAATTTGTAAAAAAATAAAAATAAAAAAGGACAACATGAAGCAATTGTGTGAATCCCAGCATGTTTTACAGTGACTGGTCAGTATCTCAGTAACAGGTTAAGATGGGGCTAAGAGAAAGCCGACATGTCAATTTCACTAAACAATAGCTTTTAATTAACTGTCAGACTGTAAACAGTTTTTAATTAAGACTGACTAAATATACAATGCATCCTTCTGTGCAGCTATTTGATTAATCAAATGATTTAGATATTCTGATGTCCATCTACAAAAAGAAGAACATGCTACTGCCTCCAGTTCAAAGCAAGATGAGAGGAGAGTCAATAAAGGGATGGTTGATACTTTCTGGAGAACAGCTGTTGGGCAGCAGGCGAGTTTCCCCCCGTGAGCATCTGCCATTGCAAATTGATTACCCAGGGGTAGAGCCGCCTGCGCCACCCGCTCCAGACTAATCGCATCTGTTGCTTTGATTAAGAGGAGAACAAGCGCTCTGCCTGGACCTGGACCACTGAGAAACTTAAAACTCCTGCAGGTAAGAGAGAGAAATAAAATAAAATATAATATACACATTACAAGTATATTCATTCATTCATGTTCTTTTCGGCTTTACAAATTACAAATATAGAAAAAAAGTAAAAATAAATAAATAAATAAATAAAACTTTCAAATGAAATATCCAGTGTTTTTCTGGAGATTATGTATATAGGTACAGAAACAAGGTTGTTGCATTTTGTTTGGAAATAAAATCCAGGTTGACGTCAGAACCCAACGTCAGGCCAACGACAATATTCAACGTCTAACCTAAAAATCAACCAATCAACTTCTAGTGATGTTATAGCTTGACGTTTGGACATTACCACTATGACATCTATCAGATGTTGGATTTTGGTTGCCATACCTAATGTCAGTATTTGGCATCAAAATGACATTGGCTAAAGATGTCGGCTCATTGTTTTTAGTCACTTTCCAACACAAACTAAAATCAACCAAATATCAACACCATCTGATGTCGTTATTAGATGTCAAAATAACCTTGTTCTTTAGACGGTGGCTAGATATTGAATTTTGGTCACCTGATGTCACAACCTAAATCTAACCTATTATTAACATAATAGTATAACATGATAATAGGTAACAATGTTGTGTACCTGCTGGGATGGTTTGAATTATCTTTAAATCGTACAGTCAACATCCTTAACCTCACAAGCAATGAAAAAACTGTCACTCTATTAAGGTTAAACTTCCCAATGACTCTGTTCAGACCTGAGGTTCCTGGTCATCTCTAATCCCAACATGACAATGCAGATGCACATGGTAATATTGATACTGAAATGAAACGCAGCTCTACAACACTGACAAATAAATCAATGGATGCAAACAATTGCAACAAGTGGTTGCAAACAATTTATATGGGCTGAATTTAAACAAACAAAAGAAGTTGAACATTACTAAATTTAATTTGTTCATTTAAATTAAGCTCTTACAAAGTGTTTGCAACCACTTACCCCAAAACAATTTAGTAAATCCAATGAATAATTTTTTCAGTACACTTGACTTTTTCACATAAGCGATTTAAGATTTAAACAAGGTCCCCAGGTAATCGCAAAAAAACTCTACTAACATATCTCGATCAGGTCCTGTCCCCTATAGAGTAGGGATTATTTAAATTCTGGAGATTATGCTATCATTTCTCTCACTCAATTGGCCACCGGTTCCTGTTCGCCTCAACTTCAGAACAGCCATAGAATAGCACTATAAAACGCACAGAAAAAAAGACAATCGATACCCAACCTCTGAGTTCTTAATTACACTGAGATCGAACGTCACCTAGGATGAATCCACAAATTAGATGCAGCTGTTCCCCCAAGAGCACTTAGCAATTCACCCACTTAAACCACTGGAAATAATTAGCCACTAACTGAATAAGTCTCTCCTAAAATACTGAAATTCTTCCCCGGCGCCCCTAAAGACCTCTTCAATTTAGAGGATCAAATCGCACCTGCCAGACCTAAAACGCTCAAGAAAATAAAGCAAAAAAAAAAAAAAAAAAAAAGGTCAAATATGTTGTATGTTTTCTGACACTATATGATTTCATCCTCATGATGAAGGCTTTTTGAGTTAATCGCTAGGTTAACTTAAGGTGTAGTAAAGTGTTCAAGGACTGCATTAACAGATCAATATCATTGCCAATTACTTCCTGTTCTCATCTAGTCGCACCCAACAAGGTCTTAATGAAAGTGGTGTCCTATAACACTTCACACTACTGTATGCTAATGTGCAAATATAGATTTTTTGTAATTGATTCTCTGGAAACACAATGCTTTGCGCGTGAAGAGCAAACATGCAATGATTAATTTGCTCATTATTGCTGTGCTCGTTTCACTTGGTTTATCGCCAAAACGCTCTTTCCCGAGGGGGGAAAACAAACATGTAGGGCGGGGGGGGGGGTTGGGGGGGGAGGGGATCATGACATTGCATGACAAAACTGACATTGCGATATTTCGTTTTTCTGCAATATATATATATATATATTTGTATAAACTATCAAATTTCAATTAATCTTTCTTTCTATAGCGCTTTTACAACGTAGATTGTGTCTTTTAATTGTGTGATTTAATTTCACTGCTGAAAGTCCAAACACTGTGGAGCAAATCCATCGATGCGCAACTCCTCAAGTCCTAAACCATGCAAGCCAGTGGTGAGGAACAAACTTCACCAACTGACGAAAGTGCAGGGAGAGGAAAAAAAAGAAAGAGAGAGAGAGAGAGCGAGAGAGAGAGAGAGAGAGAGAGAGAGAAAGAGAGAGAGAGAGAGAGAGACAGACAGACAAAAAAAAAAAAAAAAAACAGGCTCAGTTAGGCACGACAGTTTCTTCTCTGGCCAAACTTCTTGTGCAGAGCTGCAGCCTGGGCGCCAGAGGCTGGAGAACACTGGACGTCCATTGTGGAGAATCTGAAGGTGGGAGAAGTCACCGGCTGGTGTAAAGGCTGGCTCTTTAGGATCAATGTGAAGACTCTTCTGTCTTTCAGGAACCAGTCTCCTGCTCTCTACTTCTCTATGACCACCACAGCATCTGCTCAAAATACGGCCTGGTCCAGGCTTATGGAAACCTCGGGAAACAGACCAACATAAGCGCAGATGCCGTTCAAATGTCTTTTGGGAAGTGTTCCCGGCTCCGGTTGCCCTAAATAATGCAGACCAACAATCCTTTAGAGGATTTGGATTTCAACAGCATTTGGGTTTTGTGTGTATGGCAATGCAAAGACATGTGTCTTTAATCTAGTTTTAAACTGACAGAGTGTGTCTGCTTTCCGAACTGTGCTAGAAAGGCTGTTCCAGAGTCAGATATGAGAAAGATCTACCGCCTACAGTTGATTTTGACATTCTGGGAATAATCGATACAAATTACAATAAAAAATTATCCCAAAAATATTTTTTAATCAAACAAATCAAAGCACGGATGAAAACAATATGGAACAAGCATATTAATAAAATAAATAAATATTTTACAAATATTTAAGAATCAAACATCCCTATTTTATCAATGATGACACAATTCATCTTTGTTAAAGATGACAAACTTTATAATTTATTTTTAATTTGGCTTGAAATCATAGTCACAGGCTTTAAAAACACATCCAAACACAAATCTTTCACACTATTAGATAAGAGATAAACTTTGCCATGACTCCACAAATCACATCTTATAAACTTTTTTCCTGGTTTACCCAATTTCACACTGCAGATCTGCACATTACGATATCGATGCTGAAACTATATATTGTGCAGCCCTACTTTTATGCGAACACATTTGTTAGTTATTCAAATATTTTATGTCATGTAATGAAACAGGGTGATTATTTTGGGAGAACAATAAATTTTCCTATTTTCCTGCAATAAGTCATAATCTAAGCTTGGACTACTTCTGACTTTTTAAATCAAGCAACATCAAAGTCAATATTACAAAACCAATTCTTTTATTTAAATAAAACACTTCTGCATTGAGAGAATGTTTTAGTATCTTTTTTTGCATTTGCTGTTTCAAAGCTAATAAAACAGCATACAAATAGACAATAAAATATTTTTTTTTTATGAGAGATTGATCCAGCATCAGTATACTTAGTATTCCAGTACTTGAAAATGGACTCATTCACCCATAAACAATAGAAGCAACAAAGAAACATCATATCAGTTCGATGTAATTTCATGAATGACACAGTTAAAGAGACAAAAAAGCTGCAATATTACTGCAGACAGAAATGACTGCATCAGGGAAATGACTTATTAGCCTTTAATAAAACTGACTTTCCCTTTAGTTGCTGAAAGACCTTTTCTCAGGCATTTGTCTGACACCATAAATCCTAGTTTCACGTCAGTAGAGCAGAAATTGATATTTCATTTTTTTGAGAAAAGTAGCAGATCAGAAACTACAGTTTCAGCTAAAAATATTTTTAATACTCTACTGAGGGGTGATGCGGTGGCTCAGTGGTTAGCACTGTCTTCTCACAGCAAGAAGGTCACTGGTTTGAGCTTCAGCTGGGTCAGTTGGCATTTCTGTGTGAAGTTTGCATGTTCTTCCCGTGTTAGTGTGGGTTTCCTCCAGGTGCTCCGGTTTCCCCCACAGTCCAAAGACATGCACTATAAGTGACTTAAATTAACTAAATTGGCCGTAGTGCAGGGATGTCAAACCCAATTCCTGGAGGGCCGCAGCCCTGCACAGTTTAGTTCCAACCCTGCTCTAACACACTTACCTGTAGGTTTCAAACAAGCCTGATGGACTCCGTTTGATCAGGTAGTGTGTGAATTAGGCTCGAGCGGTAATACTGTAAACCACGGTATCTAAAATAGCAACGGTATTAGTTTTTATTTCGATTATTGGTTATACCGTCATAAAAAAACAATGCATTTACACAGGAGACAAGGATTAAATATTAAATATAATTTATTTAATGCCTAAACATGCGTAGGCAGCGTGTAGGAGAAAGAGAAAGATGGAAAAAAGTAGAGAGTCTTGCACCAAGTGACCTGGTCTCGAAAAAGACTTTGACTGAACCAGAAGGGAGAGGCGGTAAATAAGGTTGAGGCAATTTGCAAATTGTGCAACAAAAACGTGACCGCGAGAGGTGGAAATACCTCAAACCTAAGGTTGCATATCCAAAACTACTATCCACTAACTGCTGCGAAGATGGTCCAGAGTTCATTCAGTGCAGTGCAACAGTTTCAATGCCTCCCAATGTAGGTCCAACAACATCTAGGTCCACTGCCAGTAGGCAGCCAAGGATAATGGAGGCCTTCGGTAAAACAACAAAGTACAAAAGGGACCTTTGGAAAATCTGTACTGATGCAGTGACAAAATACTTGAAGGAAATGGTCTCTTTTCACAAAGCGGAAAAAGTCCTTACAGTACATGGTAACATTTAATTGTTTTGTGTGCGCGTTTCTGTGTAAAAACGCTTCTGGGTGTTTATGTTCATTTAATTCCTGTTGACTGTTGTGATATGCACTTTTATAAACTGCTACTTGTTG